TTTGCCAATCACTCACTACTGTTTCTACTTCAAACAATAGGAGCTCTTAAAGATTGGTAGAGGCCATCTATTTTAGCTTCTTGGCAAGGTCCTGGATTTGCTCACAGCCATGTAAGAGGCCAATAGCACATCTTGCAAGGGAGCAGCCAGGTATTACCAAGGAGTTATGAAAAGTTAGTGTATCTTTCTCTTGAAGCACCTTTTATCCAACATTGGTTTGCTGTTTTGAAACCATTTGCTTTGAATATGTAGTAGCTGAGGCAAGCCAAATAGCAAGTTTTTCCGACAGATCTGGAAGTGAGGTAGTTTCATGGTGATTGATCCACAAAGTATTTGTGTTGGCTTCGAGTGTTTTTTTTTTCTCATTCTAGGTGGTGGTAGTGCATTGAGATTTGCATGGCATCATGAAGTACAAAACCATGAGTGGCCTTATTCATAGCATACAAAGACTATGTGAGTAAAAGCCAAGAAGATTTACTATTGTGGACTATGGGGTTGGTGGTTTATAGTATATACAGCAAACTATGCAATCCAAATGACATGTTTGGTTTTTGTTTGTAGCATTAAGTCCCATTATCGTGTTCAATCCTAACATCATTAAAGGGACTTCTCGGAACACACATAAGATTTATATGAGTAAGCTAGCAAGAGAGGTTTATTAAGTCCCTGATCTCTGCCTAAAACTCCAATTAACACCGTGCTTAGGAAGCCCGTCATTGTTGCCCAACCCACCCATGCCATCACCGCTGCCTGGCATTGCGAGTCTCAGCCTACCCATTATCGCCCACTGCTCGCAATCCAATTGCTATCCCTACCTTACAGCCAGCATATCCTTGCCTATTACTAGCAATCAGATCACTATCCTTTCCCTATCTAAACAATGCATGCCATAAAGCATGGCCCATTTATGGCCCCATTTGGCAAGCAGAACAAATGACAAAAAATTTAAATTGATTTTTGGTTTGCTTAAGCAACCTGGTAATGGATATACCTAGACTATGCTTGAATATTCTAGGATATTCTACCAATGTTGTATTAATTTTGTATTTATAATTTATAAACATTTTTATAATTTATAAACTTTCCTAAATTCCTAGTATATTCTAGTTTATTTTACCATCTAATGGTTGATATTCAATGAGATTAATCTTGTGTTTATAAATTATAAACATGTTTATAATTTTTTATTTATTAGATTATTAAATAGGAATAACATTACTATTAAGCAAATCAAATGCAACATATAGCAAATTATTATAATTACATAATTTAAGATTTATAAAATTAAATTTTAATTAACTAGTTCTTATTTAAAATAAAATGGAATTTTCAGTGATGTGGCTGTCTGCCTGACTACCAAAGTAGTGGATACACTTAAGGGTATATAAAACAACCAACAAAAACACAGACTTTTTACTGACTATATTATTACTAAATATTTAACTAATATCTCATTGATAAATTAACTTAAATAGCAACTAAGTCATAAAGAACTCTCAGCTCCACCAGGCTTGCAAGTGCTAACGGACAGTGAATTTGAAGTTGGTTTTGCAACAGCTAGAGCCTAGCAAGTGGGCAGGAAGCTGTTCACTAACGTGAAAGCTAGACTAGGAACAAAACTTCTCCAAAATAAAGAAGCAATTGAAAACTTAGCCAGGTTGCTCTTTGACTTTAGTTTGACACTATAATAGCAAATTTGAGAGATTCAATGTAGATTTCCTTTCTCTCTCTCGAATGGGACAACCTCCTTTCATTCTGGCCATCACTTTCTTCTTAGTTCCAGTTGCAAGAGCCAACATTGTTTTAGTGGCTGTCAACAATGCCAAAGGGACTCCCGGCCAGCACTTCAAATCCGCCATGGGAGTCAAGGGAGTTCTCGCCACCATTGGATCCTCGGCTACTCACGAGCCAGGATCAAATCCCACCTGGGAGCTCTCTTGGTCATGTGGTTTACCGGGGACCTGGCCCAAAGGATATAGATGGTAATCTAATCCCGAGATGACCCACGTCTGGCAGTGGGACGGGCGTGGCAATGCGCCGCGGGGATTGATCCAAGTTTGTTATCATCAAGGCAGGGCTGCGGCCATTCTACATGGAGGCTGGAGCCGGCAATCACTGGGACGAGGGGTACGCAATCACTGCCTGGTTCTTGAATCATCTCATGGGTTTGGATCCACACGTTGTGGGAAAGATTAATATGAAGCAGATTAATGCGAAGCTGTCTACCGCATGGAGCGAGGGGTTCTTTGTGGACATCTTGGGAAGAATAGCTAGTCATGGTCAAACTAGTCAAAACTAGTCAAACTATAGCAAACCCAGAACATCAAAATTTGTATGAATACATGTTTGGCCCTTTAGAACGTAGCTTGATCTTTGGCTTCTTTCGTTTTCAGCCGAGCTACATGTTAGAAAGAGTGTACAATCCGAGATTTCTGACGGACAAGGACAAAACAACACCTCAATCGTTGTCCTCGATCGTTGTCTTTTGCTTCTTCCATTTGTAAGCGGCTTCCAGTATCTTGAGATTGGGAGCCATCGAGGTCTCGTCTGGGAATATATAGTCGTAGAACTCCTCTTGCCTGGAGTGACCAAGAAAAGCCGTGAGTCTCGAGAAGAAACGAGGAAAGGGTAAATGTTATATATACTACGTACCCAGCAAACGTCCCGTCCTCCTGCGCTATCGGTCGCTTCCGCTTGACAGTCCTCGGTTGTTTCTTCTTCACCGTAGCAGCATCGCCAAGGTCACCGAAGCTTTCCTCCATTTGTTGCCATTCGTCGAGCAGCATCTTCCTGTCCTCTTTTTGCTCCGGGGCTGAAGATCTGAAGTACTCGAATGCTCGTTCATAGACGCCTGAGGGAAGACAATAGTTAAACAAGTTTGGCAAAGAGTGCTTTACCTCTAGCCCGCCGGACTCGCTGCGACGCTTGTTCTCTCAAGACGTCCTGATTGATTTCCCTTTCTTCTCCTTGAGCTACGGATTCCTCTTCCAGTCTCACGCCCCCTTCAAACTTGGCGTAGCTTAGCCACACCTTCAGATGCTTCGTCCTGTCCAATAATCTCTCGTAGAGCTCCCTCGTCCGTTCGTTCTCCCCCTCGTTGATTTCGAAGTCAATGTACGCCTGAAGACAAAACGAATGTCAGCACGAAAGAGAACTCTTCGTGTTTACGATCTTACCTTCCACAAAAGCTCGGGCATGTCAAGGACAGGCTGCGATATTGCCAACTCAAAAATGGCCCGACCCCTTTCAGTTTCTCCAAGTGATTGCTCTAGATCAGCATATTTACTCCATGCGTAACAATTAGCGGGAGCCCATTCAAGGTATCTTTCGTATAGCGCCCTGCACCTGTGCATGTTCCCAAGCTGGAGCTCTATCTCGATATACGTTTTAAATATCTGTGAGCGAAAGAGTGTATAAAAACCTTGCATAAATGGCCCGCAAGAAAACCTTACCTTGTCCTTGGGTGCCTTCCCGATTGCATTTCCTAGAATCGTTCGAGCAGCGGTGAGATTTTTCTGCCTGATTTCAAACTTGGCAGCCATTAACCAGAGTTTTGCGAATGTAAACTTCTTGTGCGGTATGATGCCCAGACAAGCACTGAAAAATAAAACACGACGATCAGGTAAGGAGTTCCAAGTGACAGACTTATAAAATACGTACCTGTAAACATCCCGGGTACGATCCATGTCTTCAGCCTCGAGTTCTTCATACAGAGCATAATTGATCCTGCACGAAAAATTAAAACAAAAGTTGATAAAGCAATCTGAAAACAACTTCTTTTTTTGCTTTGCGTACCAGAGATATATGTATCGTTGCCAGTACCGTTTCTCTTCCGCAGGAGGCACGTTTGCAATGGCTCTCTCGTAGACCTCACGAATCCTATCCTTGTCCCCAACACTTTCCTCCAGCCGAATATAATCGAACCAGAAATCATAGTTGAGTGGGTTCTTCTTGACTTCATCCTCGTACTGGAACCTTCGCTTGCTCACAATCACATCCTCGATACCCTCCCTGTTCCCGTGCTGCTTCTCAAAAGCCACAAACTTCTTGTACAGCTCCTCCGCCTGCGACTTCGGTATGTTGTCCAGAGCGTACTTGTAAATGGCCCGGGCCCTCTCAAACTCCTTGCACCGCTCCTCAAAGTTGGCAAACGCTACAAATAGCTCCTCGGTCTGACCATCCTCGCCGAGCTCCACCACCGCTCGGTGGTAGCAATCCCGGGCCCTCGTCACGTCCCCGTTCTTAAACTCAAACTTCGCGAACCGGATCCACGCCTTGACGGTGGGAAGGCAGCGAACGTATCTCTCGTAAATCCCCCGTGCCCGCTCCACCTCGTTGTACCGGAGCTCGAACTTGATATACGCGGCCCAGCCATGGTGGTCGGGCTCCCAGAGCATCCATCTCTCGAAAATCTGGCGAGCACCACCGATGTTCACCATCATCTCCTCCATATGGATGTACTTGTACCAGAGCTGGTCGATCCGGGGCAGCAAATTCACGGCCCTGTCCCATACATTCCTGGCGTGGTTCACGAACTTGTTCCTCATCTCCATCTCGGCATACTTGAGCCATAGCGTCTGGTTCGTGTAGTCGACCGTGATAGCTCTCTCCCACACCGACCTCGCCCTGTTAAAGTCCTTCTGGGACTCCTCCCACTGGGCGTACTTGACCCACACCCCAATGTTCCAGCGTACCCGGCGGATGAGATCCTCGTACTCCTTGCGCTTGCGGAGGCGGTACTCGTCGAGCTCCTGCTTGTCGGTGATCTTCTGCTTGGGCGGCCGGATCTCGGGCTCCTGGCGCTCGCGAGTCTCCCGAAGAATCTGCTCGGCGGTGATCTGGACTGGCGCCGGCGTCTTGTTCTTGACGCGCGTCGGCCGCGGCAGCTTTACCTCCGTCTCCTTGCGCGTGAGGTAGCCCAACGACGCATCCGCCTCCCGCGCCATGGCCCCGACCCAAGAACCCTAGAAATGCCGGGGTTTTAGGGTTTTGCGCCCAAGAACCCTAAAAATGTGTCCCAGATGCTCTTGAAGATCGCGAGGACTCGCATTTCCCTCGCGCGCTACACGAGGAGTTCCTTTTGCTCCAGTGCCGCGCACGAAAGATCGGTAAGTTCTCGAGCTCTCCCTGTAGAAAATCTCTTCTCTAGAGAAAGATCTAAAATCTCTTGGAAAACTCTCAGGAAGCTCGGGAGGCTTCAAGGAAGCGAATCAAGCTCCAGCGCCTCGAGGAGAAGTCGCGGCGGCGCAAATTCCTGGCAGCTCTCAAAGACTGCAAGGATCTCGGCAAGCTCGTCCAGCTCCACGCCGAGGCAGCGCAAACCGGCGATGACACCAACGTTTTCGTGGCGAGCGCGCTCATCGGCAGCTATGCCAAGCTCGGCAGCGTGGCGGACGCTCGCAAAGTCTTTGACAAGCTCCCACAGCCCGACCTTGTGTCGTGGACGGCGCTCCTGGCCGGGTACGCTGACCGCGGTGATGCGCAAGAGGTTTTACGTTTGTTCCTGCGAATGCAGGCTCAGGGATGCGTGCCGGATGCCCGAGCTTTCGTGCTCGCGGCCAAAGCTTGCGGTGCGCTAGCGTCGAGCGAGCAAGGCACGCAGCTTGGAGGTGGCAAGGCCGTGAAAGCTGTAGCTCTGGAGCAAGGAATGGCGATCCACGCTCAAGCCGAGAGCGCTGGCTGTGAGAAGGAGCTCTTCGTTGGAAGCATGTTAGTCGACATGTACACGAAGTGTGGGAGCACTCTGGATGCTCGACGGGTTTTCGACAGGATGGAGGGACACGACGTGGTTTCATGGACTGCTCTCGTGCTTGGCTATGCCGAGAGTGGTGAAGCGGAGATGGCACTGGAAGTTTTCTCGCGGGCTCAGCGGAGACAAGGCTGCGAACCGAATGCTCGGACGTTTCTAGCAGTGATCAAGGCTTGCTCTAGCTTGGCTGCGAAGGAAGAAGGGACACAGTTCGAGGGGAGGCTCGTCAAGTTGAAGACTCTCAAGAGGGGCATGGCTCTTCATTCCCAAGCTCTCTGCAGTGGCTGCTGCGAGTTCGATGCTTTCGTCGCGAGTACGGTGGTGGACATGTATGGGAAGTGTGGGAGCTTGGTGGACGCAAGGATGACTTTCGACAGGACTCCATTTCTCGACGTTGTTCTGTGGAACGCTTTGATGCGGGCTTGCGCGGAAAACAACGAGGAGCGCTTGACGCTCGAGCTCCTGCGGTGCATGAGGAGCGGAGGTCCATCTCCGGACGAGCAGAGCTTTGCGGTCGGTCTCGGCGCATGCAGCAGCACCGCAGCACTGGAAACTGGCAAGGCGATCCACTCGGAGATTTGCAGAGATGGTGTGGAGAGCGACGCGGTTGTAGCAAACTGTCTGCTGGATTTCTACGCCAAGTGTGGGAACATGGTGGACGCTCATCGGATTCTCGAGGCAAACCACAGGAGGACCGCGACATGGACGTCGCTCATCGCAGGATACAGCCGCCAAGGCGACTCCAAACAGGTGTTCGAGCTCTTCCACGCTATGGAGGACGAAGGCCTGGAGATCGACTGCGTCACTCTCGTCTGTGTCCTCACCGCTTGCAGCCACGCCGGCCGCGTCGAGCAAGGCAAGAAGCTGTTCCAGGAGATGAGCTCCAAGCATGGGATCACTCCAGGGGAGGAGCACTACGTGTGCATGGTCGATATGCTGGGCCGAGCGAATCGACTGGACGAAGCAGTGGGCTTGCTCGAGAGGATGCCGCACAGGCCGAGCTCGGTAGCGTGGAGGGCAGTGCTGGCGGCCTGCAAGAAGTGGAAGAATGTGGGCTTGGGAAAGGTGGCTTTTGAGTCATTGCTGGAGCTCGGAGAGCGTGATCCGGCAACTTACGACTTGATGGCAAGCATATATGGGAGTTCATCATCATCATCATCAACCAAAGAGACAACGAGATCTCCATGAAAAAGAGGTGTTTGTCTTTCTTTTCTTTGGTTTTCTATTCAGAGCTACCCTAAACACAGGTATGGCGGAGGCTGTGATCGTAGGCGCCTTGGCTCCCGGTGTCAATGTGAGTGCTTTCTTCGTTTTTTTGTTTCTTCGCTGCGATGATGGCTTGAGGTCGTGTGTTTGCAGAGACCAACATGGACGGCTTTTAGAAACGTGATGATCTCCTTGTCCGTGGTTCTAGCCGTGCAGCTTGCAATCGCAGTGCAGTGGAGCAGTAACGAGCTGCTGCTCCATGTCTGCTGCCTCACAGCTCTCGCAGCAACGCTCTTCCTTCTCCTCAAATGGTAAGGCCGTCTTCTTTGTGCTCTTACAAAAGTTCGTTCTTGCGGCTTCTTCTATCAGGTTTGTCTCCGAGACTGGACTGGTTACTGTCCAGCAGCAAATGGACGAGCTCGGAGCTCTCAACAACAAGGCACAGTGAGAGCTTGGTTACGTTGGCCGGTTCAAGCTTCTCGGTTAGGAGATAAGCACGAGTGGATAGACAAAAGGGGTGGGAGGCATTGGCTATGGCGACGGCAGGCTCAACCTTCGTCACCATTCCAAACTCACGCGTCAGGCATTGTTCCTGGCAGCACAAGAGCAAGCAATTGGGTCTCCAGGTACGTGCAGTGAGCAGCGAGGAGGAAGAGTTTGAGGCCCGGCTAGCAAGGATCCAGAGGAAGTCCGCTGCTGGAAAGAAGGCTGCGGCACGCAAGGCGAAGAAACTGGAAGGCAGCGGGGGCGCCAGCAAAGGAGGCAAGGCGTTGTTGCTACCGCCGGTGCCTCTCGAGGATGCCATCTCGGAGGGTCTAGTGGTGGAGCTCGGGTTTAATCCATACACCGAGAGGCTCAATGGAAGGTTTGCGATGCTCGGCTTGGCGGCGCTGCTCCTGGTAGAGCTAGCAACGGGCAGCAGCTTTGTCAAGTACCATGAAGCAGCGATAATTGGGATCCAGGCCTACACCATGCTCGCCATAGCTGCGTTATTTGTCAAGTATGAGAAGGAGAAGAGAAGTGTTTGGCCGCCCCAGGCCTGATGATTCGTGAAGAAAAGTTGAGCTCCAGCCATTCGCTGATTGTTCTTGGTCCATCATCGTGATGATAAAACGATCAAACTCTATATATGACATCTCCAGTGAGGTGTGAGATGGGGTCACAAAGCCCTCTCTGGCGTTGCAAAATTCCAGCCCAGACCTCATTGCCTTCCTCAGTGAATTGGCAGTAATACGAGCATGAAACTGATCCTTGGGGTCAATCCACACAAAAAGTTAAGTTGAATAGCCACTTTTATGGTACCTTGGAGGATTTAATCATGGTTCCATCCAGATCTTGAGCAATAGAAAATACAAGAGCATTAAACACCAAGTCCTTGTCCAACATGATCAAACTCACCTCTCCATTGTGGCATTTTGCAATCCATCCCAGGATGTTGTGATAAGGCCTCTACCAAAACTTATTAATGAGAAATCCACCAATCTACAAGTCAATTTTGTATGAGGAGCACATCACAAATATCCACAAAATATTTGGATGGCAAACATTCTGAAAAACATCAAATTTATAACTAAGCCAACAAGAACAAATACAGCAGATCTCTCAAATTTCTGTCACTACTTAAATAACAAACTTATAATAGTTAAACATTTTTTTTTATATATATATATATATATATAATCATATTGTCTGTAAGGATTCAGAAAAATTCTCACAGCACAATATGGCAGCTCCAGCAAGAGCAATGGATCTGTGGAAGAACTGGGACACCGTCTCAAGGCATGTGCCAGGAGCAAAGATCTCGACGAGGACAGCTCCATGCTTGTTTCCAATCTCCGCCATTGCAAGTTCCTGGCGGATTATCTGGTGCTCATGTATGGCGCTTGCGGGGAACTGCAGCAGGCCTTGGAGATCTTCTCCTCTATCCCGAACCCTGACACCAGATCATGCAAAATTATGCTCAATGTCTACAACCACAATAGCTGACTGAAAGAAGCCAAGATCAAGTCCCCCTACCTGACGCAGTTTCTTAGAACTCCATGATTATTGCAAATGCCCAGACCGGGTATTTTGAAGACGCTCGATTGATTCGACGGCATGCACGGGCAGGATCTAATCACCTGGAACTTGATGATAACCGCGTTTGCACGGTCCCTTGATCTGGCTAGAAAGTTCTTTGACAGGATGCCTAAGCGGAACGAGGTAGCATGGAACTGCCTAATTTCCACATTTGCCAAATGGACCTTCGTCTGGAGGTTTCCAAGGCCCTGTTTGACGTTATGCCGTAACAGAATTCTTTTTCGTGGACAAGGATATTCAATGCGTATGCCCAGCCGGGCATATACTTGGCGCCCTGTGTTTAAGAGGATGCCACTTCATGATGCCATGTTGTCAACGGCCATGATCACTGCGTTTGTGCAAAATGGAATGGATGTAGTCATTTCAGTTGAAGAAGTCAGCACTTGATATAGAGGACAAGTTCTGCAAGCCAGTGTTCAAGGGATAATTAGTCTTTGCATTTAGAATTTCTTTAACAGCCAAGAATTTTTTTATATTGTAAATTGCACATGGTTTCTCTAAAACTGAGTCCTTAAGGTTTTGAAAAGGCAAATTCAATAACCAATAAATAAGTACGTGCATGGAGATAATTTGATGATTTTACTGTACGCCAAGACGGTGCATCTTGGTCAGGCAAAAGAGATGTTTTGATTCAACACAAGGCAAAGCAATAAGTACCTGGAATGTTCTGGCAAAATCATTTCTACAGAATGGTAAGATTGACATGACAAGGATGATGTTTGATAAAATGCCATGCAGAAGCTTAGTGTTGTGGAACATCGCAGTGTCAGCCTATGCTCAAAGCAGTGTGTTGATCGCACAAAGTTTATGTTTGATCAAAAGAAACGTGATCTCCTGGACTGCTTTGATGTCATCTGGCGCGCAGAACAGCTCCATTAATCTTGTGAATATCATGTTCGAGAAAATGCCTTTCTGCAATGTCGTCTCCTGGAATGCTGTTGTTGCAGCAAATGCCCAACTTGGATACGTTGAAGAAATGAACGTGCTTTGATGCGGATCCATTTTCGTGGAACTCGCTACTTTCCGGGTTTTCTCAAGCGGGGCATCGCTCAAGCCTTGCAGGTCCAAAACACTGTGTCATCTCATCTAAATGTAGAGCTCGTGGCATTTGGGACGAATGGCTGCTTGGAAATCCATGCCTGAGAGAACCCTAGTATCTTGGAACACCATGATCGCAGTCTACTGCCAATTCTCCTGCTTGGATGAGGCCAGGCTCGCATTCGACAGAATGCTACAGAGGCACGTTGTGTCATGGAGCTCAGTGATCAAGGGGCTCTCTCACTGCGGCAGTCTCGCGATGTCACAGCATGGAACATCATGACCTCAGCCTACGAGCAAAACGGCTTCTTTCAGGAAGCTCTCACAACTTTCCATAAAATGCTTGTCCGGGACCTCGTATCGTGGAATGCCATATCAAGGCTCATGCGCCAGCAGGCGAAGCCCTCTTTCTCTTCCGGATGATGAACTTGGCCTGGTGCAGACATGCCGGGCTTGTCAATGAGGCGTTGACACAGTTTGTGCCAATGCTGACTTTGGGTTGACTCTCACGCGGTTGCTGCGTTGTTGACATTTTGGCGAGGTCTGGGCAGCTTGATAGTGCCGAGGAGGTGACAGACAAGATGCCGTTTGGCGCCCATGGAGAACGATGATCTGGCAGCTCGGGCAGCTGAGAAAATTGTGGTGTTTAAGCCTGAATGTGGCTCTCCATATGTGTTGGTTACCAACCTTCATAATCCAGTTGAGGCGTGGCAATCCTGATGTTGCCGGTGTTGGAAGTCAACGCTGATAGATCTCCTTCAAACTGGTTGTGCGAGAGATCCAAGTGAACCAGCTGGTGGAACTGGCCGAAATCCATGTCTTGTTTTCCAAGCTTGACCTTGCCACCATGAGAATGGAGAGGCTCGAAGACTTGCCCAGAGAAGCTGGAAGGCTGCCAACCAGAAGATTTTCTGACAAGTCCAAGTAGTAGAGCTGTGCGCCTCCCAGGCCTAGGAGGTATTTCTCCCGAGAACTGGTTTAGCTTTCCAAGGCAAGATGGTATTGAGTTCGAGGACAAATCACTTGCTGATGCTTGTCAGGTTGCAAGTTTGTGGGAGCGAGCCCCAGAGGTTATTTCTCGCGAGATCCAAAGTGCCAAGGTTCCTAGCTTGTTGGTCGAAATAAGAAAGAACTGAAGCTGCTCAAGCTTGGAAATTTCCGGCGGAAACTGGCCACTGAAATTGTTCACGCCCATGTCAATGCGGCTCATGTTGACGCACAAGGACAAAGAAACAGGAACTTCCCATGCAGCATGTTGAATGCCACGTCAAAGTTTGTCAGCGCGCTCAAATTTCATTCCTGGGATGAGGAGATGAGCTTCAAAAACCTGGCAAGTAGCTGAAGTCTTGCGATGGAATGCTGCCTGTTATCTGGTTGAAGCCTAGTTCCAGAACCTCCATACGACTCCATCGGCCTGGAAACCGTAGCTAAATGATTCCAACTTGTTCGCAGCAAGGCGTAAAACCCACAAGACTCTCGTGCGCAAAGAGAAAAGTTGGAACTTCTCCTTCGATGTCATTCCTCTTCCAGGAATTTGAGAGATTCACAAAGTCCCTTGGTACGGAACTGTCCCAAAAAGCTTGGAAGCTGGCCAGTGAGACGATTGCCACAGCAGGAAAGCTTCTCAAGCCTTGAGCACCGTGCTAGGCTAGAGGGAATCTCACCATCAAGTAAGTTCACATCAAGAGAAAGACTTTGCAGCATGGAGGGCTGGCCCAGAGACTCCGGGATCTTTCCTTGGAGATTGTTGAGCGTGAGATCGAGTGACTGTAGCCTCGGGCAGTTACCCAAGGTCGATGGAATCTTCCCCGACAAATAATTGTACGATAAATCAGACATGATCAACCTAGTATTGCCAAGTGATAGTGAGGATTATTTTAAAGAAAAAAACCACATGATATTGAACATCGGTGCCAGTGGGTGAAGTGTGTACTGTCATACACCAAAGCAACCAAGGAGGTAACATCAGACATCTAAGCTTCACATGGCCAGTGGCAATGGACATCTCAACCTACTGTATATCTCTTAAAGATTTTAATGACAAAAAATGCTGCAATTGCTACAGTCAGTTAATGCTTAGCTTCCAAAAGAAAAAAGAAGAAACAACCTCTTTCAATTAACAGCGTATGTGTGTGAGTGTGTGTGGATTCACACCCTCTGTAGATATGGAACAATAGATTCGTCTCTTCCTCGCCATAGCCTTGCAATTGGCCAGTGAAAGCTTATAACAACATGTTTGATCAGTCGGTAGCTACTTGGCCCGCTCTTCTTTAATTTAATACGTGTTCAAATATAGCGACGAGCTTTCAGGTTATACTTAACCAACGTTTAAGTTTGATGCAGCTCTTCACGTAAATTCAGTGCGTTCTGAAGCAACTGGAGTCTGACATCTGAGGTCGCGGAGGGCAGTCCAGACGTTTCTCATCCCGACCCTTGAACTCTCAGGTACACGGTGTTTTGATTCTATTTAAATTACGATGTAAACGTGGTGATGCAAGCTCAGATCCTTGATCTCGAAACTCTAGGCAGTTTGCCTGAATCCAAAACCTTTCAGGCGCACTGAAACTTAATTTGTGATATGGGTGACAAAACTCAATTCTATCCTTGGGGCCAACGGTCTCAGTGTAGCATTATCTCCTTAACTGGGATGGTCTCCAGGTCTGGCTACTCTAGTGAAATCGATTGAGATAGCTATTGACTCTCGTTGCCTCTATTTCTGAAATGACCAGGAGTTGTTCCAATTCTATTCTAGATGATTAGGCATGTAGTTTCTAACTGAGATGGAATGGAAAAATGTCCGTCTCTTCCTCGCCATAGTTTAGAGCTCTGCATCTAGTGCCATGTCCAAACCTCGATCGAGTGTCTAGAGTGATGCTCGGAGCAACCCAGTCCCGAAACTAATGTCCAACATCCAAGCAGTGGTTGTTCCCCCTGCTGCCTACAGATAGATATGAGCAGATCGTAGTGAAGGAATAAATTGAAGAGTACATGCAGAGGCCATACCTGAAGATTTCTTCTCTTTTGTGCTGATCTTGGCCAGCAACGAAAAGAAAAGGTAAACCATATATATGTAAACGTCCAAATTTATTCAGATATTTGCAATGTCTGACATTGCCCAAAGTACATAAACATATTCGAGTCAGGCACTCATTCCAGAATGATGTTCACAGTTTTGCCACCCACCATGACATAGAGCTTGGGATCATTGGTAACAACCAGCTGATATTCAAGTCCTTCCATCTGGCTAATCCCATTCTACCACAGCACAACATTGCCACCATTCTTTTCGATGCTAAAAGTGGCGTCCTCATGCAGTGTTAAATAGTAGCCACCACTGCGTTTCCAACCTTCTTACCGCTTGCTATGACATCGCCGTCATTGCTCATGAGCAAGAGCAAGCCTTGTAGCGCGCGTTTGGGGACACAAGCACTTCATTCGTAGTCAGCTTCTCTCCAACATTGAGAGCCTTGAGGACAGTGGGCGAACCAGCCATTACCTTCACAAACTCACACTGGAGACAACAAGCAACAACAAAGTCAATAGATGCCGGATAGAAAGCCCCTGGAGGGCTGCAATAACAATATATAGCCTGGACAGCGTAGATTGATTATACTGACCCTGGGGCGTTGAACATCTACAGTTGCCATATAATAATAATAACAGCTATTTCACGCCACGAAAGGCGCATCAGACTATCCTATCTACCACTAGTGTGGAGTTGGGGACGGGTTCAACGATGGCAAGCACATCGTGCAGGTTTGTGGTAGCAGTGAGGTACTCACAAAGTGGTCGTTGCCGTTGTTAGAGGAAGACGAGAGAGCGAGAGAGTTTCACATGGCCAGTGACAATGGACATTTGTGTTTATGTCGATTTTGACGAGATGTTGCTGGTCTGGTGGGAGTGGAAGATGGAGACTCAAAGAGCAGATCTGGTGTTTCTGCACCAAAGAAAAAGAAACCAAGATTGGGCAAGAAGGGCCTGGGCATATAGAAAACCAAGGTTTGCTATTCACTTACCACAGATTTCAGGAAACTAGGCAAGTTCAAAAAGAAAAGGAAATGATAAACAAAGAGGAGAAGTGCAAGCTTCAAAGAGTGAGCATTAGATTCACAAGCAAAAACAGGTACTAGAAATTTTTCGAAACTCATTCAAGGTCTGCCCAGCATTTCAAGATTTAGAGGTAGAAAGGTTCCGTCTTCGCCTCTCCAAAATCTGATGAACTTTAAGCTAGATCGCTCATGCTAAGCATTGCAGTCAAACAGCTCACATTGAGGACTAGGGTAAGCACATGAGTTAAATATATATATATTTTTTTGTTGTTGTTAAATGATGTGACATTGGCACAAAACTGAGTGGAGCATCGTAGCACTCGACCTTTCCGGACAGTCAGAGACGCTGAACTAAAGAAGTAGATCATAGACTGACAATGGAGGTCTTAATCGCCATCACAACTTCAAGCGTGACATAATAGCTTTCTGATGGAACGTCAATTTGTGCATGAGACGTGTCAAACATTTCTTTTGATTTTTCTGCCTCCCTGTACAATCGCCGGCTAGTCATGTGATAAATAACCTTCAGCAGGACGGCGTTTCTCAAAAAGCCATGGCCTCAAAGGATTCTGAGCAGGTGAACCTTGCCGATGCTCAAAAGCTGTGGAATGCATTGCGAGGTATTCCAGGTCTCAGCGATGGGGACGCATTCATCCATTTCCTGCGCATTTTGCACTTGGGGATGTTGGTTCGCCAGGCTCCTATTGAGCATGCAAAGCAGGGGCAAGTGAGCGATGTGCTGTGCTGTGGAGTCACGGAACAAGGAACAAGAGTTGTGGGTGCTAACGTTCGTTTGAGGATGGACATGGCAGGGGGTAGACCAAATCCAGTAAGCATCAAGGATGTGGAGAAGAGGCTGGGAGTTCAAGTCTCAGCTTTTGATGATGACACCCATTCCAGGCTCCACTTGGCACTTCTGGACGAGGATAAAGAGGCCAAGCCCAGTAAGGGCCGCGACTTCGAGAACTGTGCGGAGCATGCTGTGTTCGAGAAGCTGGCACGAGTGAATGAGTCGGCTGATACAACTTACGCCGTGCAGAAGCACCAGAAGAAGAAAGGCGAATCTAAAGTCGTGTGCGTCAAACGATGTGTAAACTGTCTCAAAGCTGGAGGTGCAAGTAGTAGCAGTGGAGGACCTTTCGGACAGACTCCACGTCTGGGAGCCATAGTGACGGACCATGACAGCATCGCTGGCTTAAGTGTTCCCATCAACACCATGCCCGTGATGGTGTTTATCAGGTGAATCTCCCGCTGTTTGTACGCGTTCTATAGATGCTTTTGTTTATACAGGTCTGTGTTTCGCGCTTTGAGGGAGAGGGAGAGTGAGCGTGCCCGTGTACTCGGGCTGTTCCCGTACCTCCAAGTTTGGCACGACCTCAGCATGAGCCAGGCTACACCATGTGCAATCGATGGATCTGATGAACCTCCGCGCCCAAAACCAAAACACTAATTGCGTATATGGTGTGGTATTAATTCCATAAGGAAACGTGTGAAGTTAATAAGTATATAAGCTGTCCTAGATAAATTTCCTTGATTATTCCTTGGTCACGCTCTCTCCAAAAAATCAAATCATCAAAACGAACCTGGAAATTTGGTTGCAGATAAAAATAATGGAAACTCTGTATGTGAATTGCTGCGGAGAATTCGACAATGCAGCATGTCAGGTGGCTACGCTCAGAGCAAGCAAGTTACAGAAAATGTAGACTGCAAATGCAATGCTGGCAGCATACGAACCATGCTGGCTCGTAACCTCTTCCTAGACCATTCTCATGCTATGCCCTGGCTGAAGCTATATTAATCTTCCAAGGGAAGGGATGCTATGGTCTTTGTGCGCCTGTTGCAGCCGCCTGAGAAACCTTCCAAAGTATGACGGCCGACATCCACATTCAACCGAATTAGTTCTGCATGGTCGATCTGTTCGGTACAACACGACTTCTGTTTGTTCCCAAAGGATATCTATGCCTGGGAGATCCTACCCGCCTCCTGTACAAACATGCTGGCCCAGCACTAATATGTACGTGATGCTCGAGAAGCAGAAGCCAAATGTGCTCACTGCTGCTGCTGTAATATCTGTCTCAGTGCATTTACAATATGAGGAACCGTTGCCGGACCCGGCTGCACCCATGCTCGTTTTTAACTGTGCCATTTGAAGCTGAAACGCCTTCTTTCCCAACCGGGTTAAGCAATCCGGCGGTTCTATCCGCAAAAATCTCAGGTGTGCCGCCAGCTGCAGTGCCCTGGAACAAGATCAGGAGAGAGATTTTATAGGGTATGTACATGGTTAAATGGGGAGCTGGAACACCATAGCCTCAATTGAGATTGTTCAGTACGGATTGACAATGCACCAGATGCTCCATTCCTTTGTTCAGCACTAGCTGTCACAGCTCTGTGGATCCGGCTGGCTCGAGAACGCCTTTCTTGGCCTTTGCCTCACGAACCATTTCGAAATTGCTGCGAACATAGAGATGCCAAGCGACTCTCAGGCGTCTTGATCCTGGAGAAAATCGAAAGTCAAGTTACAAACATATGCAAACAATTGGATGAAATCGAACCTCAGCCCAGACGCTGCTGCATTCGGCTTTTCAAATAAACTGTATCTCTTTTAGTTCTGGCAAGGCCCAGACCAGCAGCCGGCTCTCCGGAACGAATATCCGAATGAGAACGAGAAGCCTGCCATCCCTACGGCTTAACGAGCAGACTTGTAAATCTCGAATATGACGGATCCAGGTAGCTGCATTTGGCTTCGTGCTGCTGGAAGCGGCTGTGCTGTGTCCAATGCTGGGTGCCTTCGTGTCCTGCCCAAAGGGTCACCGTTTCAAGATCTGCGCTTCATGCGGGCAACAAAATAAGGCTGGTCTTGTCTCCCACGAGCTCACTCTACTGGTATGTGCTTCAATTATCTGCATTTCTCATCCGCAGACATGGACTTGAGTGTAAAGCTCCTCATTGTAGGATCTTTGCTGCTCATGGAGCTTGCTGTGCTGGTGCAACTATGGGTGACCATCAAGCAAGAAAAGAGACAGCACTTTTCAGTGAAGATGGAATCGATGCCGCAATTCTGGTGAATGCTTCCAGCTTGCTTCCTTTGTTCTTCTTAAAAGAGCGTCCAGGGTGCATGGATGCAGAAGGACTTGCAGATCCAGCAAACTTACGGCCCGATAGCACTAAATTCAAGCGAGACCTGGATGCTCGTGCAAAAGAAGAAGAGGAACTCTTCTACGTACGTTGGAACTCAGGCGTTCTCATACCGGGTATGTCAGGATTGCTTCGCTTATCTTCTCTTTTCCGCTTGTTTTCTAAATCACGAGTCCGCTTAACAGCTCGGTTCCCAATCTCAACTTTGCCGAGGCTTCTGCAAGCCGCCAGTACGGCCCTCCACACCACAGCATCGCCCTCCACTGGAGAGCTTACCACGAAACGTACCATCTCCTCAAACTTCCCGGCTCGCCCGAGAAGATCGACCATGCACACGTAGTACTTCGCAGCGGGGGCGATCCCATAGTCGCTCCTCATCGACACAAAGCTGCAGTGAGCGTCCTAGAGCCCGGAGTGGCTACACGCCGAGAGGACGCTGACGAAGTTGATGGAGTTTGGCATGGTGCCGGATCCCATTTGCATCACTCGGAAGAGCGTGAGAGCTCACACTGCGTGGCCGTGGCGAGCGTAGGCTCCCACCATTGCACTCCAGGTTATCACGTCTTCTCTTCGCAGCTGGAAGAACATCGCGTACGCAGCGTCCAGGCTCCCGTATTTGCTGTAGAGATTGAGCACTGCGTTGCCGAGTAGAACGTCCAGCCCCATTCCCCTCTCGCAAATCCAGCCGTGAACTCGCTTGCCATCTTTCAAGGAGGAGATCTCCGTGCAGGCAATGATAGCGTTTACGGAAGTGTGCTTGTTCATCCGGAATCCTTCTAACTGCATGTGTGAATCGAGTACGATTTTTCCATGCTGGTACTGTACGTAGATCGTGATCAAGGCTTTCCACCACGTCGCATCCTTGTGAGAGATCTTGGCGAAGGCTTCTCGTGCATCAAGCAAGCTCCCACACTTTGCAAACATGTTGACGAGCGCGTTCCCCACGATCTTGTTAGAGGAGTCATAGCCGGACTCCACGGTGAATCTGTCGCCCCCCGCGCAGAAACGCCGGGGACGAGCACGCATTGAGCGCCGCCACGAGAGTTACGTTGTTCGGCCTCACGCTCTCTAGCTGCATGCGCCAAAGAAACACCATCGCCTGCAGTCCTTTTCCATTGCCTTGCTCCGCGAGAGCTGCAATGATCGACGACCAGGCGACTGCGTCTGGACAATCCATGCTCTGGAAAAATCTCCTCGATTCATCTGCGCTGCCACACCTCCCACACATGGTTATCAGCGTGTTTCCTACAAATGGGACGCTACACTCTTCGATCAAACAGTGGACAAAACATCCAGCCTTGAGGACGCCGCAAGCCTCTAAAACCGCCACGAAAGCTCATCTGGACACCATTGAGCAGCATCAAACAAAAACACTCGAGGGAAGCTCTCGTTTCCTCGTGTTCCACGTAAGCGCTGATCATGGCAGACCATGCAAACTTGTTCTTGCAGCTCATCCGCTCAAAAATCTCTCGCGCTTCCGCAAGGCTGCCACACTTTGCATACATATGAACAAGGCTCGTTCCGGCTGTGACGTCCGTCTCATGGAGAACATCCTCCGGAAGACAAGAGTGAATGAGTCTGCCGGTCTGCAGGAACATTGGGCCGCAGCAAGCCTTGAGGAGTGTAACGAATCCGATTTTTCCAATCTTGACACCCTCGAGCTGCATGACAAAGAGCATTTTCACTGCATCCGACTGATGCCCATTTTGGGCATATGCTGAAACAATGGCGTTCCAAGACACTGTGTCTCGGAAATACATTCGATCTAAGAAAGCTCTGGCTTGGTCGATTTTGCCGCATTTTCCATACATGTTGATAACCGCATTTGAGATGATCACATTCTTCTCCAGCCCACGATCTGCTATTATTTTCTGTACCACAATGCCCTCTGCGAGAGCGCCGTGTGTGGAGCAAAGATTGAGCGCTGTCAAGAGGGCAGTTTGATCCGGGAGAATTCCCTGCTCCTCCATCTCGTCCAGCAGGCCAACAGCCCCTCCGATCGATCCACATGAGCCGTGAGCCGTGATGAGCGCGCTCCACGAGAGAGAGCTCCCCTTACTCGCATCAAGGCTTTGGAACACAGCCTTGGCATCGTCCAAATGCCCGCACTTGCCATACATGTCGATGAGGTGATTCGCGAGACGCCCATCCCTTTCAAGGCGGCCCAGACGGGAGATATGGGCGTGGAGCTTCCTACCACCATCGACCAATCGCAGGGATGCGCAGGTGTGGAGGAGATGGATGAGCTCTTCTGGCTCCCGGCGATCTGGCAAAGATTAAGGGCATACGAAAACAAAGAAGAGAAAGAAAAGGAATGTAGTCCTAGTGCCTCTCGCATCCTAATTAAGCACTCTAGTAGACTTGGTGGTGAGATTTTCTCTTTGTCCCGAAAGTTTTCTCTTGCATCCCTGGAATCCTTCCATCTTTGCGATTTCTCTCTCCTTTTGCGATTTGTTTCTAAAACTTTCTTTTGTTTGCAGTGCCACCCTTTGTTTTTCTCATCGTTTTGATTAACAATGGGGTCTACCTTTAGGAAAGATGCCGGAAAAATAAAGTAAATAACTGTTTTATCATCTGTCTTATTGAGAAACTATCCCAGGAAACATAGACAATTATTCAATTTATGTTTTTCTTTTCCTCCTTATATCATTTGAGTTATTATTTCAAATGTAGAGTCAAACTCGCCCAAAGAAAATGGCAATTTTTCTCCTCAGTATCCTAGCAACATTCCAGGTAACTCAAGGCACCTCCATCACAGGCGCCAACACAACCCCAGAATCCCCGGGAGGCCAGCGCTTCGACTCTGTCATGGGAGTAGATGGAGCCCTCTCCATCCTCGCCGACGCCATGGCCTTCGTCCAGCTTGGCTTCGAGTATATGAGCCCCGACACACCCAAGAAGGAGATTGACACCATCCACTTCACAGTGGACGACATGCCTGGGGTGGCCTACGCCATTGGTGTGGAGATCCATCTCAGCGCACAGTTTGTTGCTACTTTCACTGGAGACTTGGTTTTTGAGCTCCGAGGCGTCTTGTACCACGAGATGACTCACATTTGGCAGTGGTTCGGCAAGGACGGGAGCCGGGCGCCACAGGGACTGATCGAGGGGATTGCCGACTTTATGAGGCTCAAGGCTAAGCTAGGTGTGTCGACCAATGGGTTTGTGGGGTCGGGGAGCCACTGGGACGAGGGGTATACCGTGACTGCATTGTTTCTAAACTATGTCAACGATCTCCATCCCAGCTTTGTGGCAGAGCTTAACAAGAAGCTCTATGACGGGTGGAGTGAAGGCTACTTCCAGGATCTGACTGGAAAGAGTGTGGATCAGTTGTGGAGCGATTACAAACAGAAATTTCAATGATGAACTTTGTTTATAGATTTTGTCTGAAGAATGGAACCAAATTGTCATTATGAAATATACATCAAATAAGAGTCTTAGATAATGGTAAAATTAAATAGCCCTTTAGCTATTACAACCTAAATTTATAATTAAAGAGTTTATAAAGAGTAAATTATTATAATTGAATACTTTAGATTTTTTTTGGATTGCTTAAGCAAACCTGTAAGTTATAAATGTATTTATAATTATTGATCATTTAGATTATTCAATAATAGTAAACAGGAATGACACTATTATAACCAAACATTGCTACATGCAAAGTGCAGCAAATGATTTTTCTTATTAAAAATGAAAAATAATGAAAATTTTAAAGGTTTGTTTAATATTCAAGATAATATACTTTAAAACTAAAGCATTAGTGTTAGTAAATAGATTTTGTATTTGTCTTTGGGCAACTTGCCATGTGGCAATCTTCATTATAAGTTTTTTTCCTATGCTCTCTCTATTTTATAGTTAGTTAATTATTATTTACTTTTTGAGTTTCTAATTTTTCATGTAATTTATTATCATGAAGATTATTGTATACTGCTTCTAATCACTTTATCTACCAAAAGAAGTCTTACACTGTATTTAATCTCACCAAATTAAATAGTAAATATTTGCTAATGATTGTTACAATTTTTTCCTTTTTGATCATATATATTAATATCCATTGCATACAAGAGAATCTCATGGTTTTTCTTTTGCATGATTATCTGTCTTATTTATCCCATAAAACATCAACCATCAATAGGCTGGTTTGACTTTGCATTTAAAATAATAACTCAAGTGAGTAATTGCTTAAAATATTTATGGCCTTATAGAAGTTTACTGTTCATTTCAGCAGCTAACATTTATTAACCAGTTAATCTCTTTCGAAGAGTGACACTATAAAACTTTGTTGTTCTAATGGACAAGATCAAGCTCACAATGGATGCAAACAAGCACACTCCAGCCATGACGAAGAAGGTTGTTCTGTAGCAATGTGGTCCATGGCAAAGGAGCTCATCACCATCCAGACTTCCATTGCTCGGTCCAAGCTTACTCTCGCGGTCGTATAAAACTCCTGCCACCCGGACGGACAAAACATAAGTTCCCAGCGCCTTAGCGACGTAAGTTACATTTTGGAGCGTCCCATAGAACCTGAGCCCGAAGATCTCCGCTATCATGGTGTAAAGAACCGACCACATGCCACCGATTGACAACCCAATCAAAACCGAGCCGTAGAAGAGCGCTCCGGGAAGCCCAAGAGCGATTATCAAGCTCCCAAGAGAGAGAAGCAAGAGAACCAGGCACAGGAAGAAGGGCCTTGCGACGCCATAGCTGGCGAGGCATATATCCGAGATGAAGCCAACGCCAACGCCACCGATGAAGTCCCAGATGCTAAGGAGGGCGATGAAAGTGTTTGTTCCGGCCTGGGAGTAGCCAAGGGACGTTCCAATCTGGCCGAAATTGTTGGTCACGGTTAGCACAGCGCCAATGCCACAGGTTGAAGCCACGAAGATGAGAAACATGTCGATGCTACAGAGCGCCTGGAGGATTGTGAAATCGTCTCCTCGCTTGACGGGCGATCCTTTAAAGAAGAAGATCGAAATGTGCGAGGCGATAGCTGGAGCAGCGGCGTCTGCCCCATGATCCGGAGGATCTACGTCTTGAAAATCTGTTTGAGGAGTTTCTATCGCTGCGTTCTCCACTAGATCAACATCAACTTCTTCGCGATGGCGATGCCGGAGGGTTTTGGATTCCTGTCTCAGAACCACAAGAACTGGGATGGAGAGAATGATCAGCATAATGGAAACGAAGGCCTTGATGATCCGAGATTCTAGGCGCACGAAGTGCTGGAGGATGATAATAGCCATGAGATATCCAGCCAGGATCAAAGTTACTGACACGAAGACGAAGAGCGTTCTCGAGTCATTGTAGCGGCCGTCGAGTGGGACGGATCGAATGAAAAACGCGAAGAGAAGGCACAAGAGCGATGGAAACCAGGCCAGCAAGAGAACGAATGAATCGTCACTGTGAGAGAAGAAGGCCTGGTAAAGCAGCGTGAATATCGCAACGCTCAATCCCTGCGTACTGTCGAGAAGACTAAGAACCATGCCCTGGTTCTTGGGGAAATTCTTGGCACAGGCCACAAGAACAGCGGTGGTGGTGAAGGCTGCCGATGCGCCGATCATAAAGAGATAGAAGCACAGTTCCCAGACATGGGGGTGTGCGATTCTCTGCGTTGTAGCCAGCCATATCGTGAAGTATCCAGCAAAGTTTAGCGCAAATCCAAGGAGGAGCACGACCCAGGGCCCGGTGAGATCATAGACGAGGCCGGAGAGAATCCCGACGCTGGTGCCAACGTCCTTAAATAAGCTTATGGTGTTGATATTTTTTTGGTTGTAGTCGAGGGACAGCTTGAGATGCTGCGAGAAGAGGCTGAAATTGTTGAGTGCTCCTCCCGTGGAGATCATGAGGAAGAAACTTGCCAATGCAACCATCCATTGACTGTTGTAGAGGTGTTTGATCGTCCCAACCATGATCCTAAGCTAAACTTTAGATTGAAATAAGAGTGGAGAGCATATATATTTAAAGTATGGAAGAAATTCAAATCGAAAGAGAACATATTCACAATCTTTCTTAGTTTTTCTACCCGGCTCTTCCCGAAAGAAATTGTGTCCAAGCAGCGCACAACAAGGACTGAAGACCAGGAAGATCTGCAAGATGTAGCTCTAATTTTCAATCGCATCCATCAGTCTCATGCTTACAACTATCTATTTATGTTATTTCGGTAATCTCGTGACTGATGGATGTAGAAAATCGAAGTCGCGATGTCGGCTCCCTCCTTCGCTGCTGCTGCCGGCTTCGTCGCTTACTATCCAGAGTCTCGAAAAAGAAAAGACGTGATGTTTTAAGGAATTGAGGCGATGGCCAGGTGGGCTGCCACCTAGAAAGAAGATCTTTCGCGGCCACCAACTTGGACTTTAACATCATGAAAAATCAACTATATAAACCCACCAATTCTATGCAACCTCGTTCATCTTGTTTCCTCCTAATTTTGTAGCTATGCCTTCCTTTGTTGCAAATGTCAATCAGCAGACTGATGTTCTTCCAAAGGGTGTCAAAGCTCTCATGGATAATGGCCTCGTTACCATTCCTGGCCGTTATATCAAACCTCCCAGCCACCGAGCTGTGAAGCATTTGATCGTTCCTGGAGTGGAGATCCCTGTGATTGACATGGCTGCATTGGAGAGTGACCGAGAGAAATTTGTTCAAACTTTGTGCAAGGCTTCGAGTGAATGGGGCATCTTTCAGGTATTTTGATGTGTACCTGCTCAAAAGGATCATTCATAATATGATGTCACATGCAGGTGATCAACCACGGGATTCCTGTTGCAACCATGCAAGGCATGGTCCATGGAGTGCTTGAGCTCTTTGATCTTCCTATTGAGGAGAAGATGAAGTATTATACGGAGGAGGTGTTTGTGCCCGTGCGGTACTGCACGAGTATGACACCTTCTCAAGAGACTCATATGGAGTGGCACGATCACTTTCAGCACTACTTTTCAAACAGAGAAAAAGAGCATCCATGGCCGGAAAAACCAGCCTGCTACAAGTAAATGAGCCTGACTAATCTGGATTTCATGAGATTGCTTGGTTTCTTGGATACTGCAGGAGGCTCGCTTCCAGCTATGTTTCAAGCGTGAGACATCTGAGTCAGACTCTGATGTCTGCTTTGTCTGAAGGGCTCGGGCTGGATTCAAACTGCCTCGCGAAATCGTTTGGAGACTCGGAGATGATCTTGCGATCAAATTACTATCTGCCGTGCCCAAATCCCGACCTTGCTCTTGGGATGAATGGCCACACCGATAGTGGCGGTTTGACAATCCTGTTTGAAGATCAAGTTGGCGGACTCCAGGCCAGGAAAGGTGATCTCTGGTACGACTTGAAGCCTATAAAGAATGCATTCATTGTGAACATCGCTGATCAGCTTGAAGTAAGTGACTTGGATTGATTTTTATCATGGCTTTGTTCTTTTCCATGACAGATTTTGAGCAATGGAAAATACAAGAGCATTGAGCACCGAGTCCTTGTCCAGCCTGATCAAACTCGTCTCTCCATCGTGGCATTTTGCAATCCATCACGGGATGCTGTGATAGGACCCCTGCTAGAACTTATTGATGAGCAAAACCCGCTACTCTACAAGTCAACCTTATACCAAGAGCACATCACAAATGTCTACACAAAATATTTGGATGGCAAGCATTCACAAAAGCTCCAAATAAACTAAACCAACGAGCTGTTACTAAAATAAAATAATAGAAAGAATAAATCTTCTATTTTATAAGAGAGAACCGTCTCCAAAGATCTCTACAAAGGCAGGATGCTCCACAGCTCCATTCTTGCTTCGCCGTTGCTAAGTTTATTTAGTGCTCATGTACATGGAACTGTAGCAGGCCTGGAGATCTTCAATATCTACTAGCTTGAAAGATCTATCGTGTTCCCAAACTCTCCAGGCTGAGACACCCCATTATCACATTGAAGACCTTCAAGCATCCGTGAAGCTTTGCAATCATGGATCAGTGATGCATGGAAGAGGTCCTAGCTCTAGAGGCCCTGGAAGCGCCAAAGTGAAGCATGTCCAAGAGTGCATTGGTGGACAGGTCCATGGCCGAGGCAATCCAGCTGCGAATCAACAGTCATGGATAGTGCACTAGTTGTCTATATGAATTGCTTGGCATCACTTGGCCACCTCATCTCACTGAATCTCAGCACCAATTCACTCTCTGGTGCAATCCCTGGATCGCTGGGTGATATTCCAATGCTATGGACGACCTTGAATCTTGATGCTCAACTAAATCTGCAAGATCTTCAACAAGGAGATTCCAAAATTTCTAGAGAATATTGCAATTAAACTCGGCTAAAGCATTGGCCCTCCCTCTCAGGTCGGGTTGTGACAACAAGTGTTTCATTGCCATATTATCCGTGTAAATTTT